GTACATATGTTGTCTTTGAACCCCTTGCTTGGCTAAACTATCTGCCAAATGTTAGCAGATCTTTAACCTATCTTATTTGAACATTCATATCTTTTGAAATCCATTTGAAGCATCTAAACTCATTTCTAAGCTGCCTTTGAACCACCTTCAATGATCAAACTACCAACTCCCAATTCTTTGGCTTTCTTAACCCCGAAAACTACTGCCAGGAATTCTTCTTTTGACCCATCAGACTCTTTATTCCATTTGTGTGAACCATTTGAATTTCCTCTTTTTGTTGTTTTAACTCCACAGTTTTGCCTCCTTGCTTAGTAGCCATCCCACAACCAATTTGTAATCCAGAATCCCCTTTAATAACTAATTTAACAATGTTCAAAGATCTTTCCCTCTTTACTCCTTCAATTAATGCCAAAATTTCAGCTCTTAGGAAATCTCCTTCAATTGGGCCAGAATAAAATGCAGTATTTTTCCCTCTTCATCCCTAAACACTCCTATTGTGTGTGGGTTACCCAAACTGCTTCCATCAAAGTTGATCTTAACAAATCCTCTTTTTGGCGGAGACCAAGTAGGAATACTGATATTCTTAATTGGGGCAGAATTTTCCACCCTTCCAGTTTGAAATGATGTCATTCGTTGAGACAGTAGAAAAGGAGTCCAAAAGATTGCAGCCAATGGGCCTAAGTGTAATAGTCTCTATGATAGCTTCTTTGCTTCTCTCCTCATACATGAAGATTCTTGCATTCCTTTCTTCCCAAGTAGTCCAACAAATAGCAGCCCTTGTACACCTCCACATACTCCTTTTCTTTTGCCCACCGAAGAGGAGTCAAATAAACTTCATACATCAGCTGGGGGATTCCACCTACACCCAAACAAGGAAAAGAACCATTCCCAAAAGCATAAAACAAAAGGGCAGGAGATTAGTAAGTAATAGCAAGTCTCACCATTGGCTTTGCACAATACACACCAGTGGGGAGATAGCACCAATTAGTTTTCTGTCTCTGAGCAGGTCACAGGTATTAATTCTTCCACGATAGCTTCCCGGAAAAAAAAAAAAAAACTCCAATCTTTGGTGGAGTAGGCTACCTTTAGGTTGTCCTTTCAGGCATATCATTGCATTAACACATCCCAAGTGCTTGTTAAATAAACATATTTTATTATCTTTCATTTTTTTCTCTTTTGGTACCTTGAGAACCAAAGAATTGAACCAGAATGGTAGTGAACTAAAGCAGGCACCAACCCCAACCTTTACTGATTCAATATCTTTTAAAGTCTATACCACGACTTGTTGGTAGAGAGGGCTAGTGTAAGACCCCACAGGAGACTAGTGTTTTGGTACCTTGAAATCCAAAGAATTGAACCGGAATGGTAGTGAACTAAAGCAGGTACCTACCCCACCAACCTTTTCTGATTCAATATCTTTTAAAAGTCTACACCACAACTTGTTGGTAGAGGGCTAGTGTAAGACCCCATAGGAGACTAGTGTTAGTAGAAGAATCGGAAACCCTAGTAAATCTGGACTGGTTATAGACACTTTACTGGTTACTCTACTTGTACCTATGTTTATGATTAAAAAATATATGATGCAAAAAAAATAATAATAAATATGAAGCTTGAGGGGGGGGGGAGCAGATTTGACAGCTGGCCCATTCCACATAAATTCAAATTTTAAGTTGTTCTGGTTATGGGGGGGGGATTTAAGCAACCACCCCACGTATGAAGAGTGGGGAGGTTGCTCTAACCTCCCTACCCCATAACTGTCTACCTCTATATCAGGGAGAGAGGAGAAGAAAATTGGGAGGCAGATAGAGAGAAGGGAGAAGAGAAAGAGATAAGAAAGAAAGAAAAAAAAGAGAGAAGAGAGAGGAAGAGAAGAAATAGAGGAGATTTGAAGTTCGGCTGATTGAGGTGTAAGGATAGGCTTACACAAGTATAAATCTTATCCTTTCTTTCTATCTCTTTAACATTTTATCTATTTCAATCCTTATCCTCTCTCTCTCTCCAAAGTTCTGTTAGAACTCAAAAGCTTATTTCAAATTATATATATGTATACCTGGCGGATCCCATCCACCTCAAAGATAACAAAAAATAATAATAATAATAATAATACTGGGGAGCCTCTGATATGTCGGTGGATTCTATCCACCCCAAAGAATTTCAATAGGCTAACCCAGTGCTGTCAATACACATAAAATGGGACAGGTGTGCTGACCTGTAACAACGCTTTGCCACCTGTTGCAACACTGTTGCAAACCTGAAAAGGGGGACACATGTTACTGTGGCAGCTTATATTGCCACTTGTAAATGACAGACCCCTAGGACCCACTGTTTCAGTTTGTTGCCAATTGTTACAAAGGGACCCACTGTCATATGAGGTGGATCTTATCCACTTTAAGAAGATAAATTACATTACCCACATTACCCCTTGAATTAGTTAAGGTTCAATCAGTGGATTCTATCCACCTCAGTTATAAAAAATATATATCTAAATAGATAAATAAAATATAATCTAAATTCCCACTATAAAATCAAACTAATGGGTTCCACTTGTTAGCGGGGCCCACTATCAAAATATTTAAGTTTAAAATCTTAAAGTGGGCCATGCCCAGTAACAAATAAACCTAGTGGGTCCCACCTGTTAGTAGGGCCCGCTATCAAAATATTTAAGTTTAAAACATTAAAGTAAGTCATGCCCACTATCAAATCAAACTAGTGGGAATATTTAAGTTCAAAACATTAAAGTGGGCCATGCCCACTATCAAATCAAACTAGTGGGTCCCACCTGTCAGCATGGCTCACTGTCAAAATATTAAGGTGGGTCATGCCCACCACCAAATCAGTATAGTGGGTCCCACTTTTTACCAATTAACGGGACTCACTGTTAAGATGTACAAGTTTAAATACATAAGTACCCAATGGTGTATGGGTCATGACCTATCTACCAATTGTGGGGCCCTCTCATGGGTATAACCCGCTAAGAGTCCAAGCTGATGGGACTGCTTATACCTGTTATTGGGTTTAACCCTTACAAAGTAGCTCTTTCACATAAAATCAAAATCAAAGGGTATTTCCTTAAAGGAATATAATTAAGGGGTTTTAGCAGACATAGTGCATACTTGTACACCCTGAATAGGGAAACCCTAATTCTACTCAAGTTCTTTTTTTATGAATTATGATCAAAACAACCTAGAATGACTGAAAGTAGGCCAGCGGTTGAATAGAGACCATATAGAAGAATCAGACTTTGATTATGAAGCTGAAGGAATGGCCTATAACCTAACCAAGAAAAAGAGGTGAACCCCTTTGTGCCTTTAAAGAAGAGCTTGAGTAGCCAAGAAATGGACTGTTCTCAGCTCCTCAATGCCATAGAACAAATGAGCCTACATAGATCAACAAATTAATAGTCTTGGCCTAAAATCAGGCACAAGCTGAGTTAAACTCAATTTTGGTGTATGCTGTCTTGAACCCTTGAAGAATTCAAAACCCGAACTGAGATACAAGGAAGAAAAAAATGATTGCTGTTTGCTATGGAACCTAGGGAAGTACCCTAAGATTTAGGCTAATTTATACTTGTTCATTTTCTTCCACCTTGCCCCCAGCTGTTAGGAGAATCTCAACTGAATTTTCCCATACAGTATAGTTCTATTCAACTTGAGGTCATTTGGATGTGGCTTAAAATCAGTTGGCAGCTACTAAAAAAAATCAGTTGGCAGCACAATTGAGGACTTTGGACTTCATATCCTTTCTCAACAAAAATAACAGAAACCAGAATTAAGAACACCTTCTTCACAACTACCACATGATCACAATTCACAATCATTAATTACACCATTATTGCAACATAGAATATATGTTCAACCTGGTGAGATGTCACAATGACTCCATAAGTCACAGCTCGCACAAACTGAATTGCTACCCTTCATTCATCTATGATCTGCACTTTTCACTGCAACTTGTCACTCCTTTATATGGAACAAATAGAGGGAGAAAACACAACTTCTCTGATGCTGCTTATCATGTAGAAATATTGTATTTGGTGCTCAGAAGAAAAGAACTTGCCAATTGGTAAGAAAATCTACTTTCCCAAAGTCTGGGTTACTATTTATACGAGTAACTCAAATCTGAATGTGTAAATAATGATGAATTACAATTTTAATCCTGTTTAGTGTTTGATAGTAAAACAGAATTTCCTAAAACCATCCCACTTTAATTTTATAATTTTAATCCTGTTTAGTGTTTGATAGTAAAATAGAATTTCCTAAAACCATCCCACTTTAATTTACAAGTGTAAAAGGCCAATAACATCCCCCTATCACAGGCGTGAACAGGAAAGAAATAAAACAGAAACTAAATATAAATACTACTCTCCTAACAGTTCTTAAGGCAACAGTCAGCTTCAAACTACAGAATTGTTCAAAGGGAATGTCCTTTAATGCCAAAGGCAACCTCCATCCAGAAGTTAGGTAAAAATGACCCACTTTTTCTTTTCTTTTCTTTTTTCTTTTTTTTTCTGTAAAAAGGACCCTCTATTTGGGACATGGTTTCTGCTTAGAAAATGGGCCCATAAGGCTGAAGAAGGAAAGGAAGCATGGAAAAATCAAACATCAACTTTGGAATTCCCTTTTATTTAAAAGTTTTAAGGCTCATCAGTCCTCAATTTCCTATGCAAGAACACTTGGCCTAATAAGGCTAGCCTCCATGACCTTTGTCCTTCAAATCTCTCATCCTTATCCATTCTAAAAATACTTTAAGTTGCTTTATGTGGAACTTCCCATGCCACAAATCAAGCCAACAACTCAACCTCAAAGATGACTAAGTACTGAAGGAACCTCCTTGTTATTTAGGTTGAATTACAGATTCAGAAATCCACATTAATTTCCTGCTGAAATCAGAGGTGTACACCATTTTCTTCTGCATTTTAGTACAAATATCATAACAGTGTCCTTGTTCTGGTTACAAGTTGATATGATCCCTCTCCTATGTGTCTTTCTTGGGCCCTCTAGGGGTATTGGAGCTGTTGTTTATAGAGTTCCTGAGCTACAAAATGATCAATTGCTGAAAATAAGTCTGAGGAGTTTGGGTTCAGAAGACACAACCCCCATATCACAGGTTATGTTCTTTTCCTTTCTATCTACTTTATGGAATATACTTCCTATTGGGTTTATGGAAATGCTTTCCTGACACTAACAGATGAGATAATTATAACTCTGGGATGAAATTAAAGGTGGTGATTGAAATGCAGAAATATGGAGGTGGTGGACATAGAAACGCTAGCTCATTCATGTTAAGTTCAGATGTATTTGACCAGTGGAAGGTAGGAGCATCCCATGAAGCCCAAGACTCCCAGAGTAAATCAGTTTGATCATACCAGTTGAGCAAGAAGATAAAAGCACTGAGCTGGAGCTGAAACAAAAATGGAGTTAACCTTATTAGGTGATGTAGCTGATTAGCTCATGTCAAAACAGCAGTTGCCTGTTGTTAATTAACCAGGTTGACCTCTGATCTGGTTTTTGATGCATCAGTTTTGAGTGAAGCTAACACAGGGAAGTAAAGGCCTTCTTTGAATTATTCAAATCTTCAAGAGTTCTAGTAATATTCTTATCATTCTTTTAACCATCTAGCAGCATTTAATCGGTAGGTTCTCTAGAGGGATTAGGCTTTTACGCCCCCCTCATAGGCCTTTTTTTGCTGGATTTCTTAATAAAATTTCAGTGGCCGTGCCTCCATCAGGAGTAAAGTTTGGGAATTAAAAAAAATGGTAGGATCATATATGGCCCGTTACAGAACCTCTTTTGTATTTTTTTATTTTTTGGCTTATGTTATTTGAAATACTTAAGGGTTCTTAGGAGATTACCTGAATGTATTGCTTTGTGAGCGACTTTAATCTTTGGCAGCAGGAAGCTTAATGGCAATGTTGAAAGGTGAGATGTAGGTCAGGCGAGGTTTAAATCTGTGTAAGGCAGAGGTTGGTATTGAAGAGGTGTGATCACTGTGATGTAGGACTCAAGGCATTTTGAGACAAAAGCCTCAAAAAGTTCGTATGCAATTTTCTTGTGCTTTTTTGAACTTTTCTCCTATATTTTATTTTATATTAGTTAAAACAATTAGTATACCTTCCCCATTTGATTAATATACTTTAATTTATTTTTAAAAGAAAAAATAATAAAAATTCTTTACAAATAATTTTTGTTGCAACTTTTGAATATACTTAAATAGGTGGGTATTGTTATGATACCGCATATTTAATTATTTATTTAGATGGTGTAGCTTATTGGATAATGCTTATCTTTATATCTTTGCTATTTTGTGGGTAACGCACATTAAAATTGAAGTCCAACATGTTATTTCCTTTTACATTTTGAAATATTATTTTTAGCTTCTAAAAAAAGAACTGTTATTTAGCTAAATTATAGATTTATTTTTCCTTTGCTCAACATTTTATATAATTTGATACTATATTTTCTATTAAGTGCCAAGTATTAACTTATAAGGATATGCATTATATGCTTTGGATGTGTTTGGATATGGTAAAATGATATAGATACACTCACTTGGATACATTTGACAAACTCTTACAAATCTCACAAATATATTAATAACATTAAATCTAAGGTTGAAATAACTATGAAAGTATAAATACATAAAATATGCACTTTTCGTGGTACTTCCTTAAATGTCACAAAAACAAATATGATTTAAAAACTATTCTATAACTGTTACAGAAAATTTGAAGCATGACCTAAATTTGTAAGCCCATTTCCTAAAAAGGTTTGCTTTCCTAAAATCATGAGAATATCTAATGATATTCAGGCCTTTGAATCTTAATGCAATTTTGTGATCTTTACATGCTGCCAGGCTGCCAGCATTTCCGTTACATTGATTGAACACGAGCAACGGAGCAAATGTCATTGCACACAAAAAACACAATCTCTCCATTTTCATCTCTTGTAATTAATTAAACCAATAGCACATTTTCCATCTCTTCATTTGGAGGCATCAAAATAAAACGTACATTTTAATAGTTTTTATGGGAATATACATTACAATTAACAATATTGAGAATGCTTGGTTAAGTTCTTAACAGAGTAATAACCTGTATTGTATGTTTATTACAGTCTACAGAGGGAATTGCTTGGTTAAGTTCGCCTTTCCTCTTGCCGTGTCGTTGCAACTTAACATCGCTTGCTGCTCACTTGAAAAAGCTTGATTAGGGTTTGTGTTTGGTATCATTTCAGTTTCTTCATGAATCATTTTGGGGATTGATCATTGCTGTTTAGAGTTGAAACTTGAAACATCAAATTTGATGTTTCAAATAACAACAGCAATTTGTATTTGTATTGATTAACGCAAAACATTTTTGATTGTGACATGACGACTCTAAACGTTTCAAGAAGAAACAACAATGGTATCAAACACAACCTAAAATAGCAAAGTACTTCAAAAAACCAATGAAACCACCTTTCATTTTAAGCAGTTGTGACTTGTGAATAACCTGACGAGGCCATGACAGGTTTAAGCAAGTTACCCTTGCAAAAGCTTACATTGCTGACATGATTCTTTAAGCTTAAAGATCCCGAGTGTGTACTAATTGACTAACCTGAGTGCATCACATTTTAGTGTGGGTTGGGCTCGGATTGAATAGTTCGGACTTGACCTTGATCTCAAGCTTTAGGCCCAATTCTTAGGGTTGGGCTTGAGTTGAGCTGAAACCCAGCGCAGCCTGCCCTGACTTGCACCCTACAAGATGATGTGGTTCCACTTTATACAAAAGAGAATTGATGTAAGAGGAAGGTGGTGCAAATTTTGCATTGCCAATGACATTTTACACTAGGTAAGAGTAAAAAAGATAGGATCCATTTGAGAACTCCGTTTGAGCAGAGTGTAAATACAAATATATTCAGTAGAGATACAGAAATGAACCAAATGCAAAATTAAACCATAAGCTCAGTTTGAGAATAGTGAAAATACAAATATATACAGTGCAAGTAAATAAATGCAAAAGTGAATCACATGAAAATTTTTTTATCTGGTTCATCTTTACACCGAAGAAAACAAGGCCTAAAAGAATTTGGAGACAGAATTTCGAGAAAAAAATTGTATAAATATGACATCCAGCTCTATATGGTAAATATTTTCCCATAAACTCTCTCAAAAAAATATTTCCCCATAAATTTAATATTCAAAGTACAGAAGATATTCCGAATGTGAAGGCTAGATGCCTGCTCAAAATTTTGGCTAACATGTTATGTTATGCAGGGAAAGCTCAATTGACGCCTAGGGGTTGTCTACTGTGGACAGCCACCGTAGATCCTTCATAAGATCAAACCCAATTGACACTTAGAGGAGAGCTGGATGCCGTGCTGTAAGGTGGGGCTGTCAATGGATCAGGCCTGACCGATGGATCCAAACTGATTGGGTCAGTTCTGTTTTGAGGAAGTGGAATCGATGGGCCATCTTTAGTTCCTGATATATTGTCCGGATTATTATTGGTTTATAACTGGTTCTACCCAATCCCAAACTGATTTGGACTCAACCCGAGTTATATATCAGTAGGTTTGTTATAATCGGGTCCACCAGGTCAAACCCAATTGTGATTGAGAAGCCATCAGTTTGGCTATGGGTCTAAAATTACAGACCTGATCGGTTCTGGGTCCTTGACATTTCTTAATGGATCAATTCTGTTTCTACCTGCACCCAACCCAAGCCCAACATCTTGACAACCCTATTGTAAGGGTGTTTAGTTTTAAGGTAAAAGATACCCTTGAAATTCTCAAAACTACTTGTAGCCTTAAAACTCCTCTATAGCTTAGTACTCATGTCATAAGTTTATCATCTCCTTGGCCCATGGTTTTAAAAATTGATCTGCAAATGGAACCATTTTGATCACCGGTCCCCAGGTCATTCTAACTGTGTAGTCTAACCCAAGTTAAACGGTTTTAGGGTCCAAAACTGGACTTGGAAGCCATGACCAGTTCTTAGGTCAAATGGTCTGACCTTTCGATTCCGTCCAATTTTCAAAACCATGCCTTGGCCAACTTTGACAATAGTGCTGAAGTTGGAATCAAATCTAGGTCTTCTCTCCATAAATGATGACATGTAAAGATGTCCCCAACGTACAGGTGCAGTGTCCTATGGGTACGTGCAGATAGGAGATCCAACCTCAGTTGAAATCACCTACCAGCAACATAAGTTCCAACGCCTTCCCAACATGATCCGACACCACACATCTCATACATGTTGGGTCCGGACTCCCTTCAAAACCCTTATATATTAGTATCTTTTTTTCACATTCCAGAGCTCTTCTACACCGTAAAATTGCCGGAACTTCTCCCATCACTTTATTGTCGATGTGTCCTGAAAGCTGAAACTAAAATGAAAACCAATTCCACGATTTCATATATCATCGGTACAGTTACAGTTCTTGTTAGTACCTTTTTTGTCCAAAAAAAAAAAACAGAAAAGCAATTTCCTCATGAACAGCTAATTCATCTCCATGGGCTCTGTTTGGGAAGAGTGCAAATACAGATATGTTCGGTGCAAACATAAATACGCATAGGCTACATCTGTGTGTCCTGAACATATTTGAATTTGCACTCTTTCTAAACCAGCCAATTCTATGACAGACGGAAGGAAAATGACAAGGGTGTCAAAATTATAATTAATGTAAACTAAATTCAAATCCAAAAGGGTTTATGAGTGTTTCAGATTACGATACAATTGTACAAAGGAATGTGATCATGTGAATAAACAAACAAAAGAATACAACAAACACAAAGGATGGAAAACAAAAACATAGGAAAACAGGATTTATCTGTTGGGTTTCATAATTAAAATTAAATTTCAGAGTAGAAGCTACAAGACTACCAACAATGAATGACTATATATTACCACTGGATGAAGGTAAGCTGATTATAATAGCACAAGAAGCAACATTAAAGTTTAAACTGGAAAACCACTGTAGCCATAGTAATACAGATGTATAATCTTGACAACCAGTGTAATTCTTCATAAGACCAGACCAGAAAAAAACAAGTCTGACAAAACAAAACTAATAAATAAGATACAAAAGATTAAGCACAAGTAGAACAGAGAAATCAAGCTTGCAGATGCCCATGGAAGACGATGAGAAAGACGGGGATAATTTTGTCTCAAAAAAACTTTTTTCTTCTCTAAACTCACTGGTTTGGGGTTTGGACAATATTTTCATTAAAAGTCCTTTAAGTTTATACAAGGAGGGCTAATTACAATCAGCGAAAAGTTTGGCTGTTTGTAAAAGGCAGTCTGAGCTGTGTAGGAGCTTTCGAAGAGCCAAGTTTTTCCAGAGCCCAGACTGTTTTTCCAAACAGGCAAGCTACACACGCCTTCTAAATCGCCTTACTCTGCATAGACGTGTATGCATTATATCGCAAATGCTGCTGTGAGATCTCTCCTCTCGCCCCACGACGTGTGTGCATCCCTCCTCTCGCCCCACGATGTTACTTTTCTCGCCCTACGACGTTGCTTCTCTTCGCGTGGTCCAGATTCTCTTTCTCTCTCTCTAGCAGACTAGTAGCTTCTGACTTCCACTGTTCAAGCTGAAGTTGCTTGGTTAGTCCACAATCCACAACTGGGTTCTTGTCAAGGATAAGTTACAACCCTCTCTCTCTCATTATCAATGTTTGCTTGTCAGTAAGGTTGAAGCTTGAACATTAATATCCTTCTTTTTGATTGTTCTGTTGTTTTTGTTCCACCCCTTTCTTTATTTCTTTCTTTATTTATTTTTTGTTTTTTTAATCTTCCTTGCTTTTGGGCCGTCTTTCTTTTACTTCTTAAATTTTATTCATTTTCTTCTACATTGTTCACAGATTCCTTGAGATGGAAAATAGCTGTTCTTCGTATCATTAGCTGATTCTTAGTTTCATGGAAGATGAAGATATCAAATTACGTAAGGTTCCTTGTAATTGTGCTTGGATAAGTTTATATTTACTTGACTTTTTTGTTGAAGTACACTGGATGGTGAAGAAATTTACTGGTTTAATAGTGCTTACTGCAAATTTTTATTTGATTGAGTCAAATAATGACTATTAAATGCAAAGAATTTATTTGAATTTAGTCACAATGGCGATGTGGATTAACTAAATGTTCGTTAATGTTTCCCAAAATGTCTTTCCTTTTATTCTTCTTTTTACTCTAACAATATCCCTCTTTTTTTACTGCTAAGAAGTGCAAGGTAGTTGATTGAAAAATTAAATTAAGTAAAAATCTGGATAGTTCAAAATAACGAACAAGCATTTGAAGGGCAACCACTGGCGCCTTAAATAAGCTTGTTTTAGTTTTGTTTGTTTATTTATTTTTTCATTTGCTTTCGGGATCAGCTCATTAGCCAAGAAGAGAGGAAAACGGATGGCCCTGTGTCTTGACTCTAGCTGATCCACCTTTTTTATTATGTTAAGACAGAGGGCAAACTTAAATATTTTTTTTTTCCTTTTCTTTCATAGGGTGGGTTATGGTTCTCATACACACCAGGAAACTACAGTTTATCTTGGCTCCAACCCTGTATAACTGTTTCTAAGATAACTAGGCCTGCCAATTGGGTTGGGTGGGTCGGGTTCAGGTTGGGTCAAGACACTTCAGGTTGATTTGGGTCGGGTTGAATTTCGGGTTGGGTTGTCAAATGCTAGACCCTAACCCTAAATGTTCAAGTTAGGGTTGACCAATGGGTCAATTTGGGTCATAAAAAAAAGACTGAAATTTAAAAAAATAATGAAAAAATACATGAAAAATGCCAAAATTAAAGGAATTAACCTTGAAATTCAAAATATAAAATAAGAAAACTTGAACATTTAACAATTCAAAGAGTAAAGACTAAATAGTAAAATTAAAGACTAACAATGCATAAATAATTCCAATTAGACCCGACAATCGGGTCAGCGGGTTGACCCATGACCCAACCCAGTTTTTTCTTGGTTGGATCAGGTCGGGTCATCCTCACACTCATGTAGCTAAATATGAGACCCTAACCCTGTTTTTTTTCGGGTTGGTTGGGTCGGGTTCATGGGCTGGGTCAATTTTTTGCCAGGTCTAAAGATAACTATCAGAAAAAGAGGTAGATACTTTCTTATGATATTATTTTGATAGTAAAGAATAAATTCTATTAAAAGAGAATAAATGGTAAAAGCTCAGGTGATAAGACATCAACAAGAGAAGAACAATATACGGGATAAAACAAAAATAGCCCGCCAAACCAAAAACCACCCAAACAGGAGCCTGGATCTCCTGAAAGCAAAATTCTGAGAACACGGAATCCAGCCTAACATTGGGAATATCTCCTGTACATGCATCTTAAATTCATGAGGAGATGTTTCCAATGTGCAGCTAGATGCCCATGCTTGCAGAGTATGTGCAGGGGTTTTGTTTTCAGGAGATCCTGACCCCAAACAGCCATCCCTCCACCATTATATCACCTTCATTTACTATATCAAAATATCCATGTAAAACTAAAAAAATGGAAATACCCCACCTCAACCCTTCTCTTGATCATCTTACTTGCCTTACCAACAAAAATTCCATCCACCCTCCTAAGATGGCATCATAATCCACCCCCCAAAACCTTCAGTACCATTTACTTTTCACTGAATTAAATCCCCATATCAATATCCACTCCTTTGTCTTAACTGCCATATCACCACCCTTACGTTCTCCACCTACCACCCTCAAAAACTTCTCAAAACCTCAGCCCTCACTCTCCTAGCTTCTTTTGTGTACTCTCACCGGATTTAGAAGTTTTAATTATCTCTTCTAGTTGCTTCTTCCCCTCCTAAAAGGAACAATCCCCATTTCTTGCCAAACTCAGCTTCTCTTTCAACCAAAGTGTGCTACCTTCTTAACCTTAAAACCTTATCAACTGATACAATATCTTCTTGACCGTCATTATCTATATATGCTCCTAAATGTTATTCACGTGCACCGTTCATCTTATTGGATTATTATCAATTCTGGTTCAATTTTTTTATTGGTAATTATGGTTCAACAATAAAAGTTTGAGGGCAGAAATTCCAGCACTAAGAAAAGGGTTGAGGATTGCAAAACAACTAGGCTTGTGAGAAATTTGAGGTGGAACGTGACTCTAAGCGGGTTGTAGACTGGATGAGAATGTGGGAGGTATGACACCTAGCGAAAAAAAAGGAGTCAGATTCCAATGGGTTTGAAGAACAGCAAATGGCTTGGCTGATGCACTAGCCAAGCAATAGAGAAACATATCTGAGCTGTTTTAGCCTTATTTGAAATTTAAATGTTACATTGTAGGGCTGTTTTGCATGCTTTAACATGTAACCACATTTATTTGCTATTGAATAAAATTTATAGTTTCCAATAAAAAATCCTTGATTGTTACTAATACGAAAAAAAGACCATATAAATTTTCCTATTGGTCAATGTAGATCCTAGATCAGCAGTGGATGATCTAAGGGGATGGTCTGCAGTGGCAAATTCTTCAACTAGACGGTTTGTGTTTCAGTCTTATTGGACACCTGCAGCACAACAAAGGGTAAAATTAAACTTTGATGGAAGCTCCTTGGGTAATCCAGGACCCTCTAGAGCTGGGGGAGTCTTCAGGGATGGGGAGGGCAGACTGGTGGCACTATATTCTGGTTCCATAGGTGTGGGAGACTCTCTGAGAGCTGAAATTATGGCTTTACTACAAGGCCTGAGATTGGCCAAGCAATGGGGATTTCAAAACTTTGAGGTGGAGGGAGATTCTAAGCTGTTAATAGGATGGCTGCAGACAAAAAAGGCTGAGTATATGGACTTTTAGACAACAAATAAGGGAAATACTTTTCTTAGCAAGGGATTTTGGAGTAATATTCAAATGGGTAAGGAGGTCAGCCAACTCTGTGGTTGATAGTTTAGCAAAGCAGGGGACCTTCAGGGTAAACTTCTTTGGGGCTGTATTGGAACTTTTGAAATTGATTGGGGTCAACACTCATATTCTGAGTGGTTGACTGTGTATGATGATTAATTGCTATTTTTAGTGAAAATTACTGTTTCCAATTAAAAAAAATGTAGATCCTAGATCACAAGATTCAGTGTCATCTTCAGTTCTTTGTCTTCTTGAGAAGTTCTTCAATTGTTGTCCCACTTGACTATCTCATATTGGAATTGAAGTGAGGGGAACGGGTAATCATGAATCAACATTGATCAGCTTACTGGAACGGTTATAAATGTTTTACCTAATTCATGTGGCACCTCTCATCTTGTTTTTTGGTTTTGGCCAAGCAGATCCACAGCTGAAACTTAAACCCTTTTTCCTTGCCACTGAAATATATCTATGCAAGCACTTCAGTTGGAATTTCATAGTTTCTTTTCATCTTTAAATCCAGGAATCTAAAATGGCATTTTAGTTTTGATACTCGTGGAAGCAAAATGTTATGCTTATCCACAGATGCAACCATGTTTGTTTTATTTTACCGTCTTCCTTTCTCAGGTTTCTCTACTGGTGGATCCAAAAAGTAGATCATGTCTCTGTGGAGCTGCTTTGATTTGTGTAGCCCTCTTGATTGGGAGTGCATTCACAGCCAGAAACTACAAAGATGTATACATCATTTTAAACCTGTGGTTGATTTTTTTTTTCTTTTATCATTATTATGCAGATATTCTTAATTTGATAAATAGCATAGAAGCATATCTTGCAGTTTGGAGTGTTTGTTTTTTGAGGTTAATTACAAGAACAGAACTGGGTTGAGGGTTAAGGCATGGTTGGTCACTTATTTATTCTTTAGTCTTTATAAAAGCCCCTTCCCAGGAAAGAGAAAATTTTGAATGTGTTATGTAAGCATTCCATATTAGTGTTAGGTTCCTCCAAATACAGGTTTACTAAGAAGATTCTTAGAATCCTTCTAGATAGTAAATATGAATAGCTTGTAAAGAAAAAAAATAGAGTAATTTATAAATAACAAAAGTTGATTTTTCAAAGACAACCAAATTAGGGACTAGGGTAATTTGTAATCTCCTAAACTATGATACCCAGTTACAGATGCCAAATCGAATACAGCTAGGGAAACAAGGATACGGCTTTCTATTTCCTAAACTCATGGCATCTTGGTGGGTGGAAAGTTAAGGAGGGTGCAAAGTTGAAAGAGAGACTAGTGGTACTGGAAGCATGTCTGGTTGGTCTTTTCCATATCCAACCCTGATGAAAGGCAAGTGGAGTCATGGATTGCAAAGGAATAAATACCAAAATGGCCTGTTCAACATGATAACAGGGGGAGGATTCTTTTTATCTTCTCAGGCAAAGAAAATAGCAGAGAGGATCTTAGAGTGGGAGCCACTTCAATGCAGGTATACTGAACTGGGGATTGATTGCAGATTGCTGATTGCTGATTGCTGATTGCTGGTTCAAATGGGGTCTATTGGAATCTGGGTTTTGGAAGGGGCTTCAGGGAAAATGAATGTGACTCTTTAGTTCAGTTGCTGGATCTAATAGGACAAGTTCACTTGGACCCATCCTTGGAAGATTCCAAAATATGGAAAGGCCCTTCAGATGGCTTCTTCTCGTGTTCTTCCTTTTTTAGTGTTCTTGCTTCACCTAGCATCCCATTTGGGGATTTCCCTGTGAAAGAAATTTAGAGTAAGCCTATCCCCCCAAAAATTTAAGCTTTTTGTTGGGAAATTTTCCTTGGCAAGGTAAATACTTGTGATATGCTGCAGAGAAGAAGACCTTTTGCTTGCCTTTCTCCTTACATGTGCTCCCTTTGTAAGGAAAGTGGTGAGTCCTTGGCACATCTATCATTATTTTGTTCCTTTGTGCATTACATTTGGGAATTTTTTTGTACTCTCTTTGGTTGCAGGTGGGTTTCCCCTCAAGATGTGGCAAGACTTTTCAACTGAGACTTTTTGAGCTAACCGAAGAAAAGAGGGAAGGTTATGTGGAAAGCTACAAGGCAACTATTTGTTGGGTGATTTGGGAAGAAAGGAATAACAGAATATTCTTGGAGAAGAGTAGAACAATGGAGGAGGTAATCAACACCATTAAATTTAAAGTAGTTCATTGGGTAAAATCTTTGCATATCTTTCAAGACTTCTCAATCACAAACATTCTAAGATCTTGGATGGAAGTAGCACAATCCTCAAGAGTGAAAGAGAAAGGATGGAATGGAAACCTCCAAATGGTAATAGGATTAAATTGAATTTTGATGGAAGCTCTCTTGGAAATCCGAGACTGTTAGGTATCGGAAGAGTAATAAGAAATTCTAAAAGGAGAATATTAGCTTTGTTCTTTGGACCGATTGGAATTGACAACTCTCTAAAAGATGAGTTAATGACATTGCTACAAGGACTGAAGATAGCTAAGCAGCTAGGACTGAGGCATATTGAGGTTGAAGGGGATTCCAAGCTGATCATCTCTTGGGCTAAAAACAATAGAAATACTCCGTGGACTTTCAAACAAGTGATAAGGGAAGTGGAAAAGGTTGCAAAGGTGGTAGAGGCTGAATTCAAATGGGTTAGAAGGAGTGCAAATGGGCTAGCTAATTATCTTGCTAAACAAGGGGCTTTGAGGCAACAATTGTTTTGGGCTACAATGTAAAGTGGGACAGAAATATGTACTAGTGTGGGAGCATTAATCCCATACACAAAGCTATAAAACTTTAATCTAACCCTAAATTCAAATAAAGTTCTCTTTTGCTGATAAAAAAAAGAAGTGTTGCCAAGAACAGAAGAAGGAAGATAGTTGATCAAATACACAACTGTACTAGCTGCTTCTACCCAAAATGAAGTCGGAGCGTGGGATTCTTGTAGTAATGTCCGCACAACACTGAGGATATGTCTTCTTCCGTTCAGCTACACCATTCTGTTGAGGAGTGTCTGGACAGCTACGCGGAGATTGAATTTCATAACTCCTCAAGTAGGCTTGAAAGTCTCCATCTCTATATTCTCCCCCTGAATCTGAATGGAGGATATTCATATTACACTTGAAACGAGTTTGCACCATAGTATGAAATAATTTAAATGTCGCAAAGACCTTTGATTTGTGCTGTAGAAAATAAATCCAAGTGTATCTGGTACAATCATCTATAAACAATACAAAGTATTTGTATCCCAATAGTGAAGTAATAGAAGCAGACCAAATATCACTATGTATTATTTCAAAAGGTTTAGTGGCATACTCAAAAGTGTGAAGAAAAGGTAAAACATGACTTTTACTCAAACAACAAGCAGTGTAAGAAACATCAATAGTATGAACAGGAGGAATTTTATTCTTAGTTAAACCAGAGTCAAACAAAAACTTCAATTTTTGAGAATATGGATGACCCAATTGTTTATTCCATAAATCCCAAACATTATTTCTATAACTCAACAGAGAAGCTCTTGATTGAGACTTCTCGAACTCTAGTGCAAACAAACGCCCCAGCCTACGCCCCCTCCCTTTCACCTTTCCATTGTATGTCCTATATCAAGCAATCATCATGAGAAAAGGTGAGAGCATTTCCTTCATCAACAAGTTGACTAACAGAAATTAGATTAGTAGTAAGGTTGGGTACTAAGAGGGTTTTTGAGAGAGGGAAGGACATAGTGGGTGATAGTTTAGGGGATAAATCATTACTACCAATAATGTCTAACTTTTCACCATTGGCAGTAACAATGTGTTTATGGTGAGTCTTAGAAGATGAATTTAGTTGATTGGTGGCACTTGAATCTATAATCCAAGCATGTGAAGGAGAAGAGCAATATGTAGAGAACTTACTAGACAAGCCAATAGTAGAAAAAGCCTTACACTCATAACACTGGGTTTTCACCGAAGAATCACCCTTAGTGGACACAATGTCAGTTGCCTGTCCATTTGTTACCTGATAGGCCCGAGGTTGAGTCTTTTTCTGAGAACCCTTAGCTGGTCAGATTGGACAATCTGGAATGATGTGATCATGTTGCTTGCAATAGGTGCAGACATTCTTCTTCTTACAGTGAGAGGCAATATGCCCAAAACCCTTACACTCATAACACTGGGTTTTGGAGAAGTCTTTGGAGGTTGAATTCTTACCTCCATGAGCAATAAAAGTTGTTTCAGACCCAATTTTAGTCATCTTTCCATCAAATCCGGCAATAGTGAGAAGCCTAATCTCTTCCCTTAGTAGCTCCCCTAAAATAGAATCTAGATATGGAAGTGTTCCCCTACTCAGAATATTGGACCTGATTATCTCATATTCATGTCTAAGCCTCATCAAAAATTGAGTTACCTTCCTCTTCCCAAAGAGCCCCTTTTATATTAAAAGATATGTATTGTTACAAGAATGCCCTTATAGGGCTGAAAGATAAAAAAGAACAAATAAAATAATAAGAGTACTGTACAACAAGGGTTATACTAATAATGTACATCAAGATATATCTTCACAATACTGCTCTCTTTGATTAGCTCCCTCAATTAAGGAGGGTGTAGTTTGCACAACATCAGTAGCCAACGTTTCAGCCTTCCTGCCTGTCTCGATCTCGCCCCCAACAGTTGAATCTCCCTCCAGGAAATCCCCTTTAACCTGCAACTCAACACTACCTATGTTATCTGCGTCCTCCGTGTCTGAATCTTCACTGTATTCCTCGTCTAACCAGTCCCCATCTCCTAAGAAAGTCAAATCCTTCCTTTTTGCGCACCTAGGATTTCGTCTTTCAGGTGAAATCTTGCTTTGTTTCTTCACAGGAATCCATTGTAGCAAGCTTTGTCCAGTCGATTTCGTTCCTGAGGAGCGGCAACCAGCAGAAGGTCGTGAATAGGACGATGATAAACACATCATCCCGTCTAGAAGAGGCCCCCCTGTTCAACCACGTGAGTTTTAAGTGACTCACGTGGTCCCCCTAACTCTTTTTTTCAAATGGGCTGTCATGAGCTCCTTTTGAACCTTTGAGTGTTGACCCTAACTTCTTGATGGGCTTTTGCTGATTACCTAGCCCACAATTACAACCTGTGATGCCACGTGACTTTTGAGGGGCCACATGCGTTCAATCCTTTGTCTGGTTTAGAGTCACCAAACCTGGGTTCGGTTCTCCTTGAACCAATGCCTTCTCCTTGTTTAAATCGTTAGTATTGGTGCCAGCTACAACCTGTGCAAAAGTCCGGCTGCCCTGCAACCTATTTTCTTCTTCTTTACGCATAAGACCTTCCCTCTATTTACTACCTTTTTGTCTCTCCAAAAGGTATTTTTCCATTTTAGTGTAAGTGTTATTCTTGTTTGAACCAGCCAATCACTTACTTCCACGCAGCTCTTCTTCTTCAACCTTCTCATCTCCCTCCCTGCGAGCCTCTTTCCATAGCAGAGCTTCAATGGATGAAGCCAACCAAATTGAATAGAGTATAAACCATAGCGGACTGATCAGAAATGAGATTCTTCATCATTACATCCCTCCTGCACTCCTCTCCTGATACAAAGGCATATGCTTGGGAGAGAGTCACACTGTCCCTGGAAAGAAGATGTTGTCGTGCAATGTCATACTCAGGGTTAAGGCCAGCAAGGAATTCAAACACCCTATACTTCTCTAAGTGTCTTTGATAGGTAGCTTCATCCTTGGTGGTTTCCCAAGCAAAAGTCTCTAGATGGTCGATCTCCTGYCACAGGGTCTTAAGGACTGAAAAATAGGCTGCAACAGATCTATCTCCCTGCCTTGTAGCAATAATCTGATTTCTCAGTTGATAAGCCCTAGCAACATTCTYCCTTTGTGAATAGGTTTCTRCAACCCCATCCCATATCTCCTTAGCAGTATTTGCCCATAAAAAAYWTTTACTTATRTGTGGCAACATGGAATTACACAACCATGTCATTACCATATAATTTTCCTGCACCCACCAGGAGTTGCCAGTTTCAGGTTTCACCTCTTCACCAGTAATATACCCCAATTTTCCACGAGTCCCAATGGCCATCTTTGCAGATTGGGACCATTCCAAGTAGTTTGTACCATCCAACCTAATTGTAGTAATGGTCCCAACTCCGAAGGGGTCTCCAGCATCTCCTCCCACAGGTCCCATTTCATTCCCGGGCTTATATTCAACTCTGTGTCCCTCCATGCTTCTCAAAAGTGTATAGAAAACAAATAAAAAAGCAGCAAGAACAAACAAAACACCTTCTGGAACCAACGACACTCCTTTGGTGTCCTGGACTTTCTTCCCAYGAAAGATTCMTTTTCKGTGGGATGGGAGAAGAGAGAGAAAAAGCAACCGCCCTCTCTAGAAGCCTCCAAACCAC